AACGCGGTAAAGGAGGTGAGCATGTATAAGCGCCGTAGATCCATTATTTCCAGCGAGGTACTAAAAGATCAGAACTCTATATAAGAATCGCTAAAGTAATTCAGTGTTTTGGCTAGGGAACGGATACCCTTATAAAGAGAAAAACCTCTCGACCTTGCTTTGTCCGATCAGTCAATACGGCAGTGAGACTACCGTTCTAATGAAAAGCTTAAAACGACAGTTCAACAACCTGCAGCAACGTCTACTTTAACGCATAATGAAATAATCATGACCCATCACCTTCGCTATATTTCAATTCAATTGGCTACGCAGTAGCCTGAATTGCTTATTTAATCATGTCAAAAAAGTATCTTTCAAATCAACGTTTATCATCTAAGGTCAAATTAAGCCAGAGAATCAGTGGCTAAATCCTTTTACGCACATATGAGGATCCTGAGATGTAAAATTCCTCTTTATTATAAAAGGTTTAAATTGCATTACAAAAAGGAATGTCAAGTTATACGATTTATGCCATCCAGAAAATAAAATTAATTAATATCAGTATCGTTCTATCTGTGACCAGGGATAGTTGGGCAGCAATGAGCCTTTGAAAGTGTGCATTTTTTGTTAGTAGTAAAGTTTTCTTGCTTGAAAAAATTTAAACCAGTTTCCAGGTTAGAGATAGTTTGTAATGACTATTGAATAATCGACTCAATAGCAGGAATGTATGCAAATGTGGCATGGTTAAATGAGAAAAAACATATTGCCAGGGAAAATTGTTCATGCCTGTTGAGAGACAGAGACATGGGATGCTGAAGAAAACGGTGGTCTGAATATGCAAGAGGGGCGAAGAATAAATCAGTGAAAACCGGAAAAATATCAGCATCTTATCTATGACACACAACGGTAGAAACATTTTTGGAATGATGAACTATTTTACTATTACGCTCTCTGAGACTGAAAGAGAAAAGATTACAACAAAATTGGCATACTGAACCAAGAAAAACTGACGTCTGCCATTCAGGCTCAAAATCAGTTTTAAGCAGAGCATTATATATGAATTTCCTCCAAAGTGCCATATTATTATGTGATAAGGAAGGGAAAGGTTCTACAAAAGAATTCATGCATTCATGCCGTTCCTTTTAGGTCGAATGGGCAGCTGCTGCAGAAAGCTTGGGCCTCGGTGATTTATCAAAGGGGCAAGCTGAATAATCATTCAGCAGCGTGACAGCGTTAAGTCTTAAGTATAATGGAATGCTAATCGCTTTCAATAAACAACCGTAAAGGAGACTAACATCCAAACGGTTAAGAACTTAACTTTTTCGTTAAATTTAGAATCATTCTTCAATTCATAAGAATCATCGGAAAGAAACCACAATGATAAAAGCAATGGATTTCGCGCCACGGTGAGCTATGGCGATGTGTATTTCCCGTAATTGCTGTTGTTGTCGTGAGAACTACTGCATAAATCATGATGGAAAGATATTCATAACCAGGCGCATCTGTAATTAAGCGAAATGACAATACTCTCTTGAAGAAATGACACTTATTTAATTGGCGAAAGACGGTTGCCGGAGTTATAGTTTCTAACCGTAAAATCAGCCATTGTTTTCGTTAGATTCTACAAAAATCCCATTTTCAGGATGCCCGTGATCGACATGATGAAGCCAATGGTGTTTCTGCTGTCGATGACGGCAGTGGCTTCGACTTTCGTCGTGTTTGAAGTGGAAGAAAAGATGTCAGGCGCCAAAGCAATGCAGCTGATCGCTGGCGTCAATCCATGTCTTTACGTCACCGTAAACATTTTGTGGGATTTGGTAGAGAAGCGTATTTCGTTTATTTTCTGTAGCATGTAATAAATGTGAAATTTCAGGGCGCCTTCATCGCCGCCTCTGCCATGTTCATTGCCGTGCTTCTACTTTTTGACGAGACCGCTTTGATTGGCTGGCCGGAGACAGTGAACGCCCTGGTTTTGTTGCTGCTCGTTTTTGGGTACGCAAAAGCTTGTTTTTCATTGAATTGGCTTGCTGTTGTGGTATGTACATGCAGTTTCATGTAGGTTTTACTTGTAATGATCCATACACAGTACTGTACCGAATTTTTCGAGTGGGAAGGGGACGGTGGCAAATGGTAGGTTGATTCTCTTGAGCCTTACAAGTACTGAGTTCAACTCATTGTATGACGTAAATTTTTTGTCAACTGGTGATTATCCTGAGCATAGAAATCGCTTGATTGAGCAACGGTACAATCAGCTGAGAAACGGGTAGCAGGTCATTGCCTGAAAATAATAGACGCAGTACGGTGTCTTGGTTTCGCCGTGTGACATGCCTGCATGTTGTCTGATGTACAGGCCTTGTGACCACATTTTGCTTTTACGAAATTGACATATGACTGAAAACTGCACGACGCGTATACGCTTATACCATGAGTAAAAGGACAAATCATAAATGGTAAAGGGTTTAAAGTATACTTAATAACAATTTCCAACCGCAAAAACAGCCGAATCTTTACTGATTCATACAGAGAAACAAAACCTGATATTATTGGTTTACTAGCATAATGCTAGTTATCGATTCCGCCCCTAAGATATTTAATCGTTTTTGGTTTTTGATACCGGACTGAAGCAGCATATTGAAGCTCTGGTTTTATTTTTCTGAATGAATATGCTTACGGATCGTGGCATATTTGCAGCGTGTCTGAACAAGCTCTTGTTCGGCCCTGCCTAGTGATGCGGTTCTGCTTAGGTCACTGCAGTTGCTCAAATGCCATGGAGCCGTGGCCTGCTTAAATGGTCCCTTAGGTGACTAGAAGAAAGGGACGGTGCTTACGTCATTTCAATCCGGTATCAAAAACATGAAATGACTTTACTTTTCACTCCTCCAACAACATCATGAATAGGTACTGCTGATTACGACTGTCAAAAGCATGAATCAGTTTAAGGAAAAGCTCATAGATGCTGCGGCAAAGCATTATAACGGACTTCACACTGCATCACGACAACATAATGGCTATTTTTTATCCGATGACTGAATGCTTATGGCCATGTTGGAGGGAATCATTGATCATCGCGAATCATTAGCCAAAACTTTTTGGCGGAAAAGGTCTATCAAGTTTCGGGGAAAATGACCTCGTTCATCTTTGATCCGTGAACAATAATTTTATGAAATTTCAAATTTGTTGTTGCTTCATGGTCACTGACTGTACGGTTTTCCAGATTCGGCTATATTACTCAAGCATTCTGTCTGAAAACACATTGGGCTGTGAGTAAAAGGCTTCATTCAGTTCCTTAATCAGTGTCTACCTTCATAAGTTATCCTCATTTCGAAATGGCCTCAGACGTATCATCAGCAAAGGGACGGTTTGAATCAGAGAACATGTAGAGAATTTTTGCTTTCTTTTCAAACCATTGTTCAGTCAGGCCTTGAGTTGGTCTCTGCTTTGATCAGAGACTTTCCCAGACCGGTGTGATCATCAGCATCTGCTTGATTGTGAATTAGTTGTACCACTCCTTCAAGATTACTTCGTAGAGAGTTGTCTGAAGATGTCAAGAGAACACTGTGCCACAATACCCTGTGCTCCAAAGACATTACATTATACCATACAGCAACTTGACCCAGGTTGTGAGCAGAAACAAAGGACGACACAACAGGGCAGCAACTGAATGTGCAGCACCACCATCGTAAGAATCTGTGTCAAAATCTATCTAGTCCAACGCGGATCAGTCGTCTTTCACTGTTCGTTTCTTTTTTGCCTCTTTTGAAAACCGAATCGTGTTGGACGAATTCCTTTAAGGTGTATCTGGTCTTCGGTCCATTCGGTATTGATACTGTGATGCCTATGTGTGTAGTGCATATCCGGCCATTTATTTGAGTGTTGTATATATTCGTCCCTTTGTAGGAGAAGGCATCGACATTGGCGGTGAATAGCGCTTTCAGCCTTTTGTCATGGTGTCATGTCCTTTGCCATTCATAACATTCTGTGAGAACATAAGTTTACGACCGTTCGCTCTGTCGGTGCTAATATAGTTCTTTGCATGCGAACCATCAATCGAATCGCCATATAATAGTGAATCGAAAATCTTCTGCAACGTTTGTTTCCTTTCCAGAAGCCATTGCTGTGCAGCGTTCCTATATGACTCTGCGATACTGTCAAA